GAGGAGAAGGAGGCCCTTGGGGAGAGGGCTGGGGCCTCCGGGGGAAGGGCGGGGGGGGCTTTGTCGGGCGCTTCCTCGTCGGCCCGGGGTCTCTCTCGGGCGCCTCCTCCGGCGGTCCTATCTGCGGCCTGGCCTCGCCGGGGGGCGTCTGGGGGGGGCGCCCGGCCCGCAAAACGGACGCCGGAGAGCCGAGAGGTGCGACAGAGCTCCTGCTGAGACGCGCAGGAGCGCTCTCGATAGAAGAGGGGCGATCGTTGCAGCATAAGTTTGAAGAGAGGAAGCAGTTATTTATTTAGTTTTGTACGACGTTGGTTTATTTATTTAGTTCTGTACGACGTTGAAGAGAGGAAGCATCTAGTTGTTTGGTTTTGTACGACGTTGGTTCCGTCGGTGGTTTGATAGTAATACTGCAGCCGCGGACCTGAGTATGTCACTGGCAGGCGCAGCATAATCTGCTACAGGTGCGAAACATCTTGGCTCTAGAAAAGAATTGTGCAATCTCTCACAATTCCTGGAAAACCGACCCCAGAGTTGATTTTTACCCCAAAATTATGTTTTTTGCGCCGAAGCCCTGAAGAAGACGTGTAATGTTCGTAGGTCTACGGAAGGTCTAGGTATTCTCGTAGACTCGGCGAGAAAGGCAATTCTGGGGTAAATCAACTCTGCAGTCGATCCCCTACTCGAAAACCAGACGACGAGGCTCACTCGAGGGGCCAACTCAGGGGGGGGGAACCATCGAGCTGGAATCGGCGACGCATCGCCGACAGATCGGCGGCGGGCCCCTGATGGCGAAACACACCACGTCTCACCTGCACAGCCTGTGAGGCCGTGGGACGCCTCGCCGCCCGGGGTGCGCGGGCCAACGCTCCGCTCCTCTGCTCCCCCCTCCCCCCCCCCGCGCCCCCCTCCCCGCGCAAATTTTTGAATTGCGAAGTGCATCCCTTTTCGCCCCCCCCCCCCCGCCCCCGCTTGCCCTCCGCGTGTGCACGCTGCCCCCCCCCCCCCCCCCGTGCAGGCGAGAGCAGGCGGCATCCCGACGGCAGGCATCCTGGGCGTGGCGGGCCCTCAGGCCCCTCCCCGGACCTCCGACGCCACATTTGTTCCACATCGCCGACGCCCAGAGGCCTCGACCCGCTCCCAGGGACCGGCTTCTCATCCTGAGCGGTTTCGCGGACGGTCCCGGGGCCCGGCGAGGGCCACCAGGGGCCCGAAGACCGTGAAACATCGCCCGTCTTCGATGGCAACTCATGGGGGCCTCCCGTACCATCTTGTCGGCTCTTGCGACTCGACGCTGAATCGACGCTGATCGACGCTAAATCGACGCGAGCCGACGCTAACTCGGTGCTACCTCGTCGACCCCCAGACGCAAATCGACGCTACCCGATGCTTAAAACGGAATTGCGAGGGTATACCAGGCTCCCACGACTTGCCGCCAAGCCCGTCGTGAGTTGTTTCATGACTCGAGGGGTTCTCCTCCTCCTCCTCCTCCTCCTCCTCCTCCTCCCTCCTCCTCCCTCCTCCGAGGGGTTCTGGGACCGATCTCCACCATACCGTTACCCCTGATGTCGTGGAGCCACTCGGCCGTCCGAGCTGTTCGGGCGGGGCAGCTCGGCGAGCGGGATTCCAAGGAGATCCCTCGGGAGCCCCGCCCCCCGCCGGTGGGGTGAGGGTGCGGTCGGCCCGTAGCATCAGGTCGGGCCTGTCCCCCTCCTGGGAAAGTTTACGTGAAAGATGATAAATACTCAAAAAATACTCCCAGAATGGTCCAAAATAGTTTTTTTTTCAAAAAAAAAAGCGTCCCCAGACTATTTTGTTTGACTATTTGGGACTATTCCTCCTGTGGCGGGACAGGCCCGACTTAACCGTAGCAGAAGTATGTGCGGTAAGGATGCAAGGGCGTTGGAAGGCCACGTCGAAGCTTTTCGAGCGGGGCGCGGCCAACGGAAGTGGCCAAGGATGGGCCGAAGGGTCAAGGATGCAAGGGCAACCTTGGGCAAGCTGCCCATCCTTATCATGCAATTTGACTGTACTGGAGAAGGAATCCAAGGTCCCCAGACCGCCTCGAATCATGACAAAAGCACGACGGGAATTTGTTTCGCGCTATTTTCCGCCCCTGGCGGCCCTTGCTCAGCCTCGGGACCGTCAGAATACTACTGAGGATGAGAAGCCGGTCCCGGGGAATGGGGCGACGCTGTGAACAAAATCATGACGCCGGGAGTCTGGGTCTGAAGGCTGAGAAAACACCCTTTGGGGCGTGGCCATGGATATCGCTGATATTACTGCCGCCCTCATCAGATCAGGAGCCCCAAGGCCTGAAGCATCCTGGGCGCTCTCCCGAACCAACGCCACCACCGTACCCGTCGGTCGGAAGAAGTGGGTAGAAACATAAGTATGAAGGGGAACTGGGACACACAAAGAAATACACACAAATAAAACTATTCCCCATATTTTCCTATATTTTCTGGGTTTTTGTCTTCCCCCCCACTTCCCATATTTTCCAATATTTTTTGAGAAATCGACGATTAATTGTGTCTGTGTGTTTTTTCCCCTCCTGAGAGTAGGAAGGAGCTGAAGGTTGGATTGGGCTGCCGCCCGCTCCCCAAGAGGAAGGACACGGGGGAGCCGCTCGACCGTGGAAGTAGGAAGGTGCCCAAAGTAGATGGGGACTTCGGCATCCAACCTCCTCCTCATCCTCCTCCTCCTCCTCCCTCCTCCTCCTCCCTCCTCCTCCTCCCTCCTCCTCCTCCTCCTCCTCCTCCTCCACCCTCCTCCTCCTCCTCCTCCTCCTCCGACGTCATGATTTGTTCACGACGTCGACCCCAGAGGTCTCGACCCATCCCCCGGGCTCGGCTCTTCATCCGGAGCAGTTCTGTGGCGGTCCCGAGGCCAGGCGAGGGCCCCTGGGGGCCGAAGATCACGACACGCCTGCCGCCATGGTTGTTCCATTGCCCGAGGGGGCCTGGGGAAAATGCCTCGCCTTCAACGACCGGCGGGCAGCTGCGAGCAGCAGCGGGGCGCGGGGCTCCCGCCCCGAGGGTCCCGAACGGGGCGGAGGGCTGCGCGGACTCCACGGCCGGCGGTGCAGAGGCGGAGGAGAAGGAGCAGGAGCAGGAGCAGGAGGAGGAGGAGGAGGAGGAGGAGGAGGAGGAGGAGGAGGAGGAGGAGGGGGAGCAGGAGAAGGAGCAGGAGCAGGAGCAGGAGCAGGAGGAGGAGGAGGAGGAGGAGGAGGAGGAGGAGGAGGAGGAGGAGTGGCAACAACTGCTGCGTGCCTCGCGCAAGCCTCGCGCTGCTCCAAAGCTTTGCAGAACAGCGCGAGTTCTACTGTCCCGTCGCCGGACAGGCGTAACCGTGCACCGGATTCAAAGAAATAGCCTCGCGGCGCCGTGCAGCTCTGCCGCGCCGCGCGGCCGGTCGGCTCCTTCCCTGGGGGCCGCTGCACCCGCCAGCTTTCTGCAGGGGGGTGGCCCGCCCAGCTGCTCCTGGCGAGCGAAGCGCTCCGGGGAAGGAAGAGGCGCTCACGCGTTGCGGAGAGGAAGTCTTTGGCGCCGGCGGAGGTGGCCAGACGCGGACGTCCGACACTCCTCCTCGATGCTCTCTCCTGGCCTCCTCCGCCTTGATAGCTGCCCAACCGCTCACCACGGCCTCTAGTTGCATGAAAGAGTGGTAAAGCATGCAAGATGCAATAGCGCAGCGCGTCACTCGGCCATGGAGCTCTTCTCGTCATCAGATGAGCCGGGCTCCTCTGCATCTCCGTTGGTCTCCTTCTGCTTCTCTTTCTTCCCCTCTTCATCCTCCAGCACCTTCGGCAGAATGTACATGGCCCACGCGGGCAGCACGACCGCGCACAAGATGAGCGTGAATCCTAAGTCCGCGACCGTCTTGTATGTTCCATGGTAATCTCCCGTGATGCCCTCAATTGCCTCGGTGAAGCACGCCTCCCAGGTCAGCCCCATGACAATGCCGAAGGTGCTGAGGAGCTGCCGAAGGCCCTTCTGCGTGCTCCTGCTGGCCCTGTCGGCGAAGAAATCCACGATCCGTATTGCCATGAAGCACGCCAGGGAGAACACCATGGCCATCAGCATGCGGGCCGACATCCTCGAGCCAGTGCCCACGCCATGACCTCCAGTCCCAGCCCAGAAGAGCCACTGGCCCCAGAACAGCACGCACCAGCCCATGGCCATGGACGACGTGAGCTGTGTCAGCTCCATGGCGTGCTCGGCCAGCGGCGAGGGCCTCTTTTTCTGGCTCGCTTTCACGATCTGGTTGCCGATCACCACGACCAGGACGCCAAACACCACGGTGGCCGCCAGCAGCGTGAGCACCTGCTGCGTCGTCTTGTCCTTGGGCGCGCCGTGTATCGGTGGCATGTGCCCTGCGATGGCGTAGCGCACAATCATCGAGACGAGGAGGCCGTAGCACAGGCACGCGCCGTCGGTATCGCACTCCCTGGCCACCTCGTGATACTCCTCGTCGCCCCCAAGTTTCTTCAGCAGCTTGTGTGAGAAAAGATACAAGAGCCCGCTGAACAGAACGATCGAAGCCACCACGGTAAAGACACATGCGAAGCTTTGGGAGAACGGCTGCTCCAACAGTCCACCAAAAACATCAATGGCCGCGAAACCAATTACATGCCCACCTACGATGCCAACGCTCTTCATGGACCACAGCGGGCTGTCGAGCTTGGACGCGTTGTGGATCAAGACGTGGACCAGGGCGAAGAAAATCAATAATCGAACCACAGCAATCAAAGATGATCGCATGCCAGGAGGCTTGTGGTTGTGCCCATCCTCTTCGCCGAAGTAGTCGACGGAGACGTGCTTCGTAGATGCAAAGATGAGCACGGCGACGAAGATCGACAGCATGTCGTTCAAGATGTGCCAAGTGGCCTTGGCGATGTCCTCGTCCTTGGAGTTCACCTGGTAGTACACCATCATGATCCAAGCCACCGACCCCATCAAACAGAAGCCCAGCGCCCTGCTGACGGCCGCCCTGGCGGGGTCCGCCGGCTCGTGGCCGTGGCCGTGGCCCTCCTCCGCGTGGCCCTCGGCGACGTGGCCCCCCTCGGCGTGCACCGCCCCGAGGCCGTGGCCCTCCCCGCCGTCGTCACCCCCAGCGGCGTGGGCCGCCGCCCCGACGGCGACCGCCGCCTCGGCGCCGTGGCCCTCCTCCGCGTCATGCGCCGCCTCGGCAGCGTCGCCGTGCGACTCCCCGGTGGCGGCGTCCTCGCTGGCGTCCTCCTCGCTGGCGTCCTCTCCACCGGCGTGCTCCCCGCCGGCGTCCTCTCCGCCAGCGTCCTTCTCGGCGGCCTCGGCGGCCTTCTCGGCGGCTTCGGCGGCCTCTGGGTCCTCGGGTACCCACACGAGATCCAGCGGCGCCGCGTGGGCGCCGGGGGCGGGCGCGGGGACGTCGTCGTCCTCGGCGCTCCACTCCATGTCTTCAAACGCCCCATCTTCAGCATCAGGCAGAGGAGGAATGTCGCTGCCACCTTTCAGCCTCCGCCTCGGGAGCAGGCCCGGCTGCGCCAGGGGGCCCTGCGCGCTGGCCGGCGCGAGGCTGGCCGCCGCGCAGGCGGCGACCACGGCCTGGAGGAGGCGGCGCCCCATTGGTGACGCCTGAGCAGGCGTCGCACGCCCCGCGCCCCCGAACCCTCTATGAGCCTGGTGGAGGAGGAGGAAGCGAAAGATGAGAGGACTTCTGACAGACACTTTCTGGCCCCTGGGAGAATGCCAGAGCGCTCCGTGTACTGAGCCACTCGGTCGAACTCCAAGCGTGCTTGTGTAGCACTGCCAATACCTCTTGCACTTTCATATCTGTGTTCTCAAGCCACGCAGTTCGTTAACTGTGACGACACAGCTGTGCTTGTAACGTTTGAAGACACAACCACGGAACAAACAAATACCGAGCTGGCATCGACGGCGTCGGACTCGACGGGCTTTCTGTAGATTAGTATTACTTGGTATAAGATCTAGAGATCTAGAGACTTCTTGAACGGCCACCACTCAGCCATGGCTGGAGGTGAAGGCAATCAGGTCGAGTTGTTCAATGGGCCTGTACTCCGTGTGGGTGGTTCGTGAAATCTCACCACTGGAGGTGCTTGCGTGGGATGCCGTTTGGGCTCACAACACGCAGCAGCAAAACATAACTCACCACGGAGCAGTCTATCCAGGAGGTGCAAATTTTCATGCCAATCCTCGGAATGGAAGAGTTGAGCCGAGGCCACGAGGCCAATCACGCACAAGCCAAGAGCAGCCGAAGAACCATGACAACAACATTCCTGTGAAGCGTTCATTACTGAGGGTCCGCTGATTATACCTCTCCCCCACTCGGGCCACAGAAAGTGACAATGATTGGGTCCTTGTCTCAAACACCGAAATTGGCATCACATCTAGGCGCCCAACGAGCCCTTTGAAGGATCCCTGGGAAAGACCCTACGCCACCTCGCGCCCTCCTCCCGCCCTCCCCTGCCCTACCTCTACCTTCCCTTCCTCCCTCGCTTGCCCTCCCCTGCAGCCTGTTGGGTTGTCAGCGGGCCCGCCTGGAATGGCGCCCCGGAAATGCTGGCCAACGCGATATAGTTATTGTGGCGCCGCGGGGCTGGGTATGATTGCGCAGCGAAAAAGGCCTGATTAGATGCCCCACCCACGAATATACCCCAACCGCGGAAGGATAACTTCGAAGGTGACGCGGACGCTGGAGGTCCGTCATGGACTGCTCCGCTTGGGCAGCCCAGGTACTCCGAAAAGTTCAGGGAAGACTGGGAAGACCGCAAGGGGGTAGAAACATGGTATAGGACGGCGGGTAACGCAAATTGGGCTCGGGCCCGCCCGAAGGATCACAAGCACGGCAACAACAAACTGGTTCTTAGAATAGGAAGGCGACGAACAAAAATATACTGGGATGCGAAAGGACCCGCAAAGCATGCTTTCAACGACCAGCGGGTCTATGTTTTCGCGCCCTCCGCGCCGCCGCCCTGGAGAGGAGGGGGGGAATCCTTCCAGCCCAAAGCCGCGGCGCGCGAGACGCGATCCCTGGAGGAGCAGGGAGGAGGCGGCGAGCAGCACGCAGAGGGGCAGGAGGAGGAGGAGGGGGAGGAGGGGGAGGAGGAGGGGGAGGAGGAGGAGGAGGAGGAGGAGGGGGAGGAGGAGGAGGAGGAGGAGGAGGAGGAGGAGGAGGAGGGGAGGAGGAGATGGGAGCTGGGAGCGCTCATGGCCCATGTGGCCCGGACGCTACATGGGAGATGGGAGCGCTCATGCGCGACCTTTACGCGTGCAGCTTCCGCGCCGATGTCGGCGAAGACGACCCCGTTGACTTCCGTCGCTCATGCGCCAAGGACGGAGGAGAGGGGCAAGTCCGCTCAGAATCCATTCCAGGGCCCCTCTTGGTGGTCCATCTGGTGCAAGTTCCCGGAGGCTGGAAACGGCAAAAAACAGGTTCGAACCCAGAACCTCGAACCTCCTCCCTTTCTTGTTGGCCGGAATCAGCGCAGGGCCACCGCCGACCCCCAGCCGTCTCCAACGCCGGAGAGCGAACGAGCGAGACAACAAAAAGACAAGGGTTGCTGTCAGTCTTCGTCCCCGCTGTTCCCACATTCGTTCCCTTGGCATCGTTCCGACGCGCACTCCCCGTGCATATTTCGGCGGTGGCGTGTGTTTATGTTCCCCAGAATGATGCAAAATGATGATCAAATCAAAACCAATCGGGGGCCAAGTGAGTTCTCATCCAACGAGATCCCCCAAGACCGGGCTGCATCCGAGCGTCAGTTTGCGATGCGTGGCGGGGCGCCGTCGCGACTCACGACATAGCCTAGCTCTGTCGCTGTCGCGGGGCGCCAGGGTGACGCACAGCGGCGCCTCAGTCGGCACCGCTCCAGTGCAGGAAACCCATGGACAGACCGTGGGGCTCCACACTCCACCTGCACACGGCCTGTCCTGATCACTACTGGAATAACGGGCCCCGCGGGACCAACAGTCGATTTGGTGCCCGTCGAAGCTGCAGAAATACTCGCGCGCTTGTGGTCCGCATTGCCAGGACTCGTCACGCGACGGACGCGGGGTGCTCCTCCTGCCACCTGGCCCTCGGAAGTCCACAGTCAGCATCTCCAATTGCCTTCTGAAGGGAAAGGAGGGGGAGGGCTCGAGGCAAGAGGGCGAGGAAGGGCTGGGGTGGGACGGCACGTCGTCCCCAGGCCAGTGGTTCCTGCTCGCAGTTGGGCCAGCGTTCGCATTCCCACAGGCACGGGGCCCTCTTCCCACCGTTTGGCCCTTCGAAGCGCACAAAGGCGACAGCTCAGGCTGCCTGAGAGGGGAGGCATGGATATACAAGTCCCGACGGGAGAAATGGAAGTCGGGGGAACGAGGGTCGGCATGTCGGCAGCTTGTCGGCGGCCCCTGCGATTCGCGGGGCCCGCTCTCTCTCTTTCGCTTCCTGGAACCCGGGGCCCAGTCTCCACTCCACCGACTGACCACTCGAGCCGGACCGACTCCTCTTCGTTAGAAGCGGGGGCGGCGAGCGGAATTGCCTCGGATGCCCCGAGCGGGAAGACTGCGCCCGACCCCATTTGCCCGGCGCTGCTCGGGGGGGGGGGCGCGAGGGGAGTCTCGGAGGAAGGAGGCGCGAGAGGGGCAGGAGCAGGGATGTCGAGGATCGGCTTGCTAGCTGCGTGGCTCAGGCTCTGCGCGAGCCGCTTAACCCACTCCTGTCTCACATCAGGGGGGCCCCCATCAATCTTGCATGACACTCCAAAGATCGTGCAGCCCCGCGTGGATCAGCCGCTACGCGTGGCCCATCGGGGCCGCCACTGGCCTGCAGTCTGTCCCGACCTGGATGGGGGCCGCCAGCGCTGGATCCACGTTCCGACTCGAGCTGAAGGGCAGCACGAGCTTGACCCTGCCCTCCTCGTTACAGTGGGATATCTTGGCTAGAGGCACGACCTCTCCCATCTCGTAGATCGCATGAGCGTTCTGATGCTTGCACAACGCTTCGAGCTGCCGCTGGCTGGCTCGCCCCACCGCGCTGCCCTCCGCGATCGAGCCCTCAAACGCCCCCGCGTGGCACGCCGCTGAGATGGTGCCCACTTCCTCGATATTCTGCTCTCCCTCGGCCTTGGGTAGACTCGACTTGCGCGAGTCGGCCGCGCGGGCTCGCGCCTCGGTGCGAGCCTTCGCTTCGGCCGCCGCCTTCATGCCCGAGGTCACCAGGGGGTCTTCAACCCGATTGAGTCGATCGGCCTCTGTCTAAGCGCTGCGTTGCGGATGAAGTTCAACAAGATTGGTAAGTGCTTCTGCGCGGTATGGGCCTCCATCAAATCGCCGTCCAACTCGGTCGCGCCCACTATCTTGAGGCCATGTTTCATTGTGTCCGTCTTTCACCGGACTGCCCAATATATCTGCTCCTCCTCTCGTGCCCCGCGCGGCCTTCCTGCGCGGCGGCTCGCCGTCTGCCAGAGCCTGCAGCCGCGACGCGCGGCCGGGGGGGCGGCGGGCGAGCCCCTGCGACGCGCTGCTGCGGCGATGGACGGACGGTCAGCGAACATCGCTGCGCACTCCGTCCCCGGGCAGGCGTGCCCCTGCGGATGCGCCGCCGAAAGATGGAGCGTCGATTCGCTGGCGGAGCACCTCCCATATCTACGCGCAGCAGTGATGCGGTTGATGGCGGCGCGGCGACAAGCGAATGCGGATGCGCGCGACGGGCGTTGATTCGTCGTCGCGAGCTTGCTCATTGCGTGGGATTGTCCGCGCCCCCTTCCACCGCTGCGCGTCCGATGCGAGAGCGGCGCGCGCGCCGCGCGAAACCTCGCGCCGCGCTCCAGACCCTCGCCGTTGAGCAAGGCTTGCAGATTCCCGCCCCCGCAACACTCCTGGTTCTGATACTGCCCGCAAGGGGTCGCCGTCGTGGCTTCGATTCAAAACTTTCTGGGTCGCTTCATATTGAACGCCGGGAACTTGGCGCGCAACTCGGGAACCGTGAAGACCCGCGGGAAGTTGCGACCCGCGTCGTCCAGGACGTCGGAGCCCCCCTCGAGCTAGCCCAAATAGGACAGACTTCTCGTGACTTGCGGGGCCCGCGGCTGGCCGCAGAGGGATGCGCCGGGGCCCGCGAGAACTGCCGCGGCGCCGCGTTCTCAGCCGCGACCATCCCAAAGACAGCCACAGGCTCCTGAGCGCGCTGATGGGGGGGGCGACCGAGAGCACGGCAATGTCGCAGGCGTCGACCGGCGACGTCGACGCCCAGAGGGGCGACTCGAACTTCCCCCCAGACCACTTCCGCACATATGATCGCAATCTTTCGCCGTTCTTCGTCTCCCTCGTCGTTCAGCCGCCGGTCAATCGCAATGCCCCGGCGCAGAGCGCTCGCATATCGCGCGGCCGCGGGGTCGAGCTTTCCCCCCTGGTCCCGCGCGAACACCCTCGCCTCCAGCCCAGAGACCGGTGCGCCGATAGCTCAACGCTGCAACGCCGAACCCTCGCGACCGGGAAACGGGCGGATCCTCCAAAACTTCCCCGCGCCGAGCCATCCGACGCGCGCGGCCGCGCGCCTCCTCCTCGTTTCTCCCAGACGTCTGTGCGCGAGCCCCCACGGGGCGGACGCGGCCTGAACCCCGCATGCAATCGGCGCCCGATGGAAGTGCCACGCTCTCGCGGATAACTGAGGGCCTCGCCCCGCGAAGCAAGTGCTGGCAGTTGTTTATTTCGCAGCTCTGCGTCAGCCCAACCCGCTCGAGAGCCTGGGCCAGGCGCGCGCCCGGGGCCTCGACCATCACCGCCGCGCCGCGCGCGTCAGGAACGACGCGCGCGCAAGTCGAGTCGCCCGAATATTTTCGGACACCCAGGTCGCAGGACACCTGCGTAATTGGCCGTCCCACGATCAGCTCACGCACTGAATAAATAAGAAAAGCGCCTGCCTCCACTCCACCGCGGGTCGCTGGAACGCGACTCTGAACTTCGCGGCCGCGTCGGAGCCCATGAAGCAGCCCGCGCGGTTCGGGAAGGCCCCGTCGCCGTCGCGCGCGTTCGCCGCGCGGGCCGTGCGACGATGCCTCGACGGCGTGATCTGCGCGTCCTCAGGTCGGTGCAACTGGTGCGCCGCTATGTCCAGGTGCTCGTGGCTGACGCTGGCGAACACGCGATGTGGCTCAGCATGGCCTCGCCTAGTCTCCATTGCCGAACGTTGCCGGCCGCGCGCGCGCCATTTCCCGACTTTCCCATTCACGCATCCGTGATCTTCGCGCGATATCGGCAGATCGTCTCGGAGCTGCCAGGTGCCGGCCCACGCCTGTCCAAAGCTCCAGAGGCCATGTAGTTGTCGCGTGCCGCGAGTGCGTGTCTTGTTGTTCATCTTGATCACCTGATATGTCTGTGAAAGATTCAGCTATGCACCTAGCCGATGATGTTGCCGAATCGCTGCCAACTGCGAGAGTAGAAACTCTTGGAATACAAGGCGCGCCACTGGTGTGCGCTCAGTTCCATGTTGCTTCTGTGCACGGCAAGACGTCAATCGATACCGCACCTCCGTCGGTAGAGACCACGTCGGGAATGCACGTCTTCTGCATCCTCGTGGGAACTTCTCGATAAGTCTGCACGTGCCTCTCTGGCCTATCTTCCCGACTCGTAGTGTACCATGAGTCCGCGCACTCCTGTATAGTTTGAACCATCTCTGGCCACGGCGATTCCAATGTGTTTGACCGCATTCACGCCGCCGTCTTTCCTTGTTGTTGTAGTTTGGCCTGCAGTGCTTCTTCCACGCTTTTCCTGAACTGCTCCGCCCCCCCTCGTTTGTCATGGCCTTTCCGAGCGTAAAGAGGTCCCAATGCTTAGTTGTCTGCCGTGATGCTGTGTAGGTTAGCTGATAATCCAGCTGTGAAGCAATGATCCTGTGGTTTAGGGGTGGCTACGCTCGGTACTACACGCGCACGTCGGGTAAGATTGTAAGCGATCGCGCACCTGCGCACTCGAGCCATCCACGGCGGTACTGCCCAATGGCCCATGTAGCTCGCACCTGTGCCCACGAAGTGCTGGTCCGCAGGAATACGTGCTAGTGACCACTGCCCTTTCCACATTCTTCCAGCCACTCACGGTTTCGGGCAAGAGGCCCTGAGCTCACGCCATTTCCCTCCTGAACCAGGCCGTGGTAAGTCTGTAAGCCCAGACCGTCGTTCAGGTCAATGGGGGCGATAATGGTGCTGCGGTTGGGTGTGCCATCCGTGATGCCTGGAGCTTCTCGACCAAGAGTCTCACCATGGCTTCGTACCTGGGGATGCTTCGCGCTTCCGTGCACCTTGGCGGAACATTGCCCACAATCATCCCGAAATCGAACTGAGGCGACTATACTCTCACTGTCCCAAGCCCCCCCCAAGGAGCGCATCGGGTACTGGCCAGAAGTGCATGAGGTGTGATCTTCGGAAGCGCCCCTGATTCAGCCATACCTCTACTCCACAGATTTGGGTTGTCAGGTTTTTTCCTTGGAGTTGGACCACCCAAACTCAAGCATCAACAGGTCGCTGTGCTAGAGCAGGTCGTGGTGCGTTGGGTGATCATTCAGTCTCGAAGCAGTGGTGCCCGACAGCAGGACAACGTCAGCGAAGTTGATGCGTTGTGTCACCTCCAGTCGCCTGTCATAGTCTGGGAGGGCCATGGGACCCCACTGCGTTATCTTCATTTGAGCTGCCACACATTTGAGTGCCGAGAAAAGGATCAAACTTGCAGGGACAAGCGCACGGGCCCTGATGCCCAGCAAGCTCGGGCTAGGGCGCCAATGTGATGATGATGACGATGATGGTAATGATGATAAAGATGCTGCGGATGATGGGGCTGATGGTTCTGATGCCGATGTCGGTATTACGGCTATTGCAGATGATGCGGTGGGTGATGGAGACGATGCCACGTAATGACGATGATGGCAATGATGATGATGCTGGGAAAAATTATGCTCATCACTATCATCACTATCACCATCATCATCACCATCATCATCAGCATCATCATCATCGCAATGTGGGGTTTATCATCGGCATCATCAGCATCATAATCAGCAGCATCCTTGTCCTTATCCTCATCATCATCGCTATCGCCATCATCATCACCATCACCACCATCATCACCATCATCACCATCGTCATCATCATAACCACCATAATCATCACTATAATCAGCATCAGCATTATCACCATCACCATCACCATCGCCATCATCATCACCATTACCATACCATCATCATCATCATCATCGTCATCATCACCATCACCATCATCATGATCACCATCATCAGCGTCATCATCAGCATCACCATCACCACCATCATCAGGATCAGCATGATCATCATCAGCATCAGCATCATCAGCCGTATCATCATCGTCATCATCATCATCAGCATCATCATCATTATCATCATCATCAGCATCATCATCATCAGCATTGTCATCATCGGCATTGCAGTAGTCATCGTTGTCGACGTTATCGACATCGCCTCGATGGTCCTCGCCGAGAAAAGATGCACACGTCTGAGCGATGCCACTGGTCCGATCCTCCAGGGCTCGCGAGCGGCGCGCGCCAGGGTGGCGCCCTGGCGACGCTCGGTGCCCGCGGCCCGTGGCCCTTCGCGACCCCCGCACCAGTCCCTGGGGAAACCGGGAGGCACCGATACCGCCCCCTCCTCCTCCTCCTCCTCCCCCTCCTCCTACTCCTCCTCCTCCTCCTCCTCCTCCTCCTCCTCCTCCTCCTCCCCCTCCTCCTGACCTCCCCTGGGGTGCGTCCTGACCAGGATGTCGCGGCGACGCCAGCGATGGTGACGAGGGCCGCGCAGGAGGCCGACGGCGGGGCAAGCGGGGGAAGGGCAGCGGCATCGGCACCCCGTGAAGTCGAGGCCACGACGAGGATGCATTCGGGGGGGGGGATGCATCGAGAACCTCTGAGCTCCAGCGGCTCGGGAGGATGTATCGGGCGTGGGGGCCTTCCCCGAGCGCTCCGGAGCGCTCTGAGAGCGTTGCGAAACACTCTCTGGAACGGGCTTACCCTTGCCCTGGCCCCGCCCGACCCCTGCCATCGCACGGACGTGCATTTTTGCAGTTTCGGGCGAGGTGTTTTTTTGTTGCTCGACGATCCAGGATTCTCCTCGGCGGTCCCCGCCGAGAAAGAATGGACACGTCCGAGCGGTGCCGAGGACCTCTCCCTCCTCTGAGTTCCGAGCCTCCGGAGCGCCACCGCGCGCGCGCGCCGAACCGAGCCCGCGGCGTCCCTGCTCCACCCCAGCTCGTGGCCGCTGCTCGGCCACCTGGCCGGGTTCTCCGGATCGGGGGTGGCGGCCACATGTAGAGAGTAGAAACACCCCGACAAGCGAACCCGTTTAGTACCGTCGGGGCGTTGACCTAAGGAACCCTAAACAAGGAACGAGGCCCCTTTTTTTCCATAAGCTAACCTTCGATTTTCGGTCGAAGACATAAGGAAAGCCTGAGGCAGGCTGCGAAACACTTCAGGAGCGCGGAGCCCCTCCCCAGCGAAAAGGGTTCCTTCTTCAGGGCCCCGACTGTAAACGCACCCATGGAAAGAATCGAACAGGGCAGGGCTGCTCCGCAAAAACGCTCGGGGCTGCTAGCATTACGCGCGAACTGTCGGGGTCGGGGTGGCTTTTTCCACCCTTGAACATGGGGGAGGAGGAGGAGGAGGAGGAGGAGGAGGAGGAGGAGGAGGAGAGGAGGAGGAGGAGGAGGAGGAGGAGGAGGAGGAGGAGGCTTCGGCGGCGAGCCCCAGGGGGAAGCGAGAAGGGCCCCGGCCTGCGCAGAGGGGGCTCGGCAGGCCGCTGGCCTTCCGAGACGTCTCTTGGAGCCTCCCCCGGAGGCGCGCGGAGACTTCTCCGAGCGCGCGGGGGCTGCTCAGAAGCTCCGCCGCCTCCAAAGAAGGCCTGCTCCTTCGCGCCTCCCCCTCGGGCTCGCCGCCGAAACGGTACGGCCAGAGGCACGTGCGCGGATGAGGCGGACCATGGCACGCATTGAAAGAAGAGGGGGGGTAACGAGATCTGGGTGGACATCATCGATTGCCTCCATCATTATTTTCCCCTCTCGCTGGCGCTCGGACGTCTACTCCCCGTGCATTGTTCGACTTCGTGCATTGTCATTTCCGCAAGAGGGTCCAAGATGCTCCTCGATGGTCCTCGCCGAGGAGAAATGCACACGCTCAAGCGATGCCAAGGTATACGGTGGAAAACCCTGCCAAGAAACGCCCTGCTTGCCTCCAGGGTGCCCTGGGGTTCTTGGGTGTCGATGGTTTTGCTACGGAGACCGTGACGTTACCATACACGGACCAGTGGGCGTCTTGGGGTCTCAGGGTTGGGTCTCCTGTGGGCGGCTTCTGCTGGTCGAGCTCCTGCTGTAGTAAGGGAAGGAGGAGGAGGAGAAGAGGACAAATGATGATGATGATGATGATGATGATGATGATGATGATGATGATGATGATGGTGATGATGATGATGCTGATGATGATGATGATGATGATGAGGAGGAGGAGGAGGAGGAGGAGGAGGAGGAGGAGGAGGAGGAGGGAGGGAGAGGGGGGGGGGGGGGAGGGGGAGGGAGGGAGGGGGAGGATGAGGAGAGAGGAGGAGGAGGAGGAGGAGGAGGAGGAGGACGACGAGGATGACGTGGGGGAGGGGGGAGGAAGGAAACTGCCCCTGGTCCGAAGGAGAGAGGCGGGGGGGGGGCGGGCGGTCGCCTGGCCCCCTCAGGCGCGCGCACGGGCGGGGCGGGGGGGGGGGGGGGGGGCAGGGGGCGTGCTGGCAGAAGAACGCGAGAGACATACCAGCCACAGAAAGAAGAAGAAGGAGAAGAAGAAGAGGGACGAGGAGGAGGAGGAGGAGATAGAGGAGGACGGGTCACAAGAAGAAACAAAAAATATAACGGGGGGGGCGTGCTGTCAGAAGAACGCTCGTCATAAAGGGGGAGGCGTGCTGTCAGAAGAACGCGAGAGAGATAACAGTCACACGATGAGGAAGACGAAGAAGAAAGACGTATCCTACGAAATCAATCATAAAGAATGGGCGGACAGCATTTGCAAACGAAACCAGCCAATACTGATAATCAAGAGACGAGGCTGATACGAAACAACAGATGATGGTACGCACTCCGACGGTAAGCCCCCGAATGCCAATCTTATCGGGTAGCCTGGAAGTAATTCCCATCGTCGTGTGCTGCTCTCTGCTGCTCTCTGCTGGTCCCTGCTGGTCTCTGGTGGCCTCTGCTGGTCTCTGCTGATCTGTGCTGGCCTCTGCTGCCCTCTGCTGGGCTCTACTGGTCTCTGCTGCTCTCTGCTGGTCTCAGCTGCTCTCTGCTGGTCTCAGCTGCTCCCTGCTGGTGTCGGCTGCTCTCTGCCAGTTGTTGCGGGTCTCTGCTGCTCTCTGCTCCCTGCTGCCCTCTGCTGCTGTCTGCTGCCCTCTGCTCTCTGATGGTGTAAGATGCTCTCTCCAGGTCGCTGATACTCTCTGCTGATCTCTGCTGGTCTCTGCTGCTCTCTGCTCGGCTCTGCTGGTGTCTGCTGGGCTCTGCTGCTCTCTGCTGCCCTCTGCCGGTCTCCCTGCTGCTCTGTGCTGCCGTCTGCTGCCTGCTGGTATCCGCTCCTCTGTACTCCTCTCTGGCTTGGCCTGCTGGCTTCTGCTGCTCACGGCTGCTCTGCTGTTGCTCTCTGCTGCTGTCCGATTTTGCCATCTGCTCTCCGCTGCTCTCGCTTGCTGTGCACAGGTGTCTGCAGGCTGGTGGCGTTTGCTGCTCCTTCTCCGGTGCGCGGAGCAAGCCGTTCAGACGTGTCCGTGCCACTCACCGGTTCGGCCGCCTCGGAACAATAACATGAAACGTGGGTCCCATAGGGAGGGGCTCCCGACTCCCTCGCGATTCACTCACATCTGCGGCTACCGCTCGAGCCTTCCGCTCTGTTCAGGCCTCAAGGGCCCAGTCATTACGAGAACTGCACGGTTCCGACTCCCCGCTCGGATTACCCGCATGTGGTGGGGAACCCCACAAAGAGGGGCTCCCCGCTCGGGAATTCTTCGCGATCCAATCAGAAACGAGGCTCCCGCTCGAGATCCCCTCTGTATTCAAGCCTCGGAATGGTAAACGTGACTCCAGTTCCAAGGTTCTCGTACCCCGCTCGGATTATCAACATGAAGCGGGAACCCCACAGGGAGGGGCTCCCGCTCGAGACGTGCTTACGATGCACTCACACACGAGGCTCCCGCTCGATCCATCCTCAAGATGAGCGTGCGAGTGTGAGTGGGTGCGAGAGAGCGTGTGAGTGCGTGCGATGATGATGATGATGCTAATGTTGTTGTTGTTGTTGTTGTGGTTGTTGTTGTTGTTGCTGTTGTTGATGAAGTTGTTGATGATCATGGTGGTGGTGTTGATGATGACTATGCTGATGATGCTGAAGATGATGATGAGGACGAGGATGGTGATGAGGATGTGCTAATGTGAGGTTGTACCTGTTGACGGTGATGACCAAACATATGATTAGTTTGCCTATGATGGTTGTGATGATTAGCGTGCTGACAATCGACAATCATGATGGTAAGGTGATGGTGCTGCAGATGGTGGTGATGGTGATGATGCTGATGATGAAGATGAATTGACAGTGGAGATGATGATGTGGATGATGGCGGTAATGATGATGAGTAGCATTTTTATGGTTATGTCGGTGATGCTGATGCTGATGCTGATGTTGCTGCTGCTGATGATGGTGATGATGATGATGATGATGATGAGGTATGTGCGTGTAGGTGGGGTTATGCCTGTGCACGGTGTCCAGAACCATACGGATACTACTCGTACGGCGAAGAAGAATAACAACCCTCATTAACCATAAACATAGAAAATTATCATACCTAGGAGAAACAATCCAAACTCCCTTCGTCGACAAAATCAACGACGGGACATTTTGGAAATTTCCAGCCTCCCGGATCTGGTCCCCATGAAGAGGTCCACAAATCGCAGGGTCTACGCTGTGAACAAGTCACTACGTCGGAGCTTTGGGCTGAATGAGAAGGGGGCCATGAAATCTGAGAGGTTTTTTGGATCCTCACACCCCCTTTTTCGGCGGCGAGCGATGGGGGCAAATGAGAAGGAGAAGGTCATCCCTGAAGGCGGCGGGACTTCTCAGAACGGACCCGGCCTTTTAGAAAGGTTTCCGTATCTTCGGGGGAAGCTTTGACAAGTTCTCCGAAGGCCAGGAGACTTCAGAGACTTCTGAGAAGGCCTTTTCCTTCTCACTTCCCCCACTGGCTCGCCGCCGACTTTCGATGCCTCTTCCCCCGCGCCCCCTGAACCCATTTCGTGAAGGAAGACCTGGAATGTAGCAACGCCCGTCCGCATGAGAAATCAGCCCAGGTGCGAGTGCGACCCAACAAAGCAGGAAGAGCGCCCACCTGCGCGGCAGTAAGATCAGAGTCCATGCGCTTCCACTCAGCAATATGTGGCCCTGACCACCTTGCCAAAAGAATGAGGTCTGAGAGGTTTTTGGGATCCTCACACCCCCTTTTTCGGCGGCGAGCGATGGGGGCAAATGAGAAGGAGAAGGTCATCCCTGAAGGCGGCGGGACTTCTCAGAACGGACCCGGCCTTTTAGAAAGGTTTCCGTATCTTCGGGGGAAGCTTTGACAAGTTCTCCGAAGGCCAGGAGACTTCAGAGACTTCTGAGAAGGCCTTCTCCTTCTCACTTCCCCCACTGGCTCGCCGCCGACTTTCGATGCCTCTTCCCCCGCGCCCCCTGAACCCATTTCGTGAAGGAAGACCTGGAATGTAGCAGCGCCCGTCCGCATGAGAAATCAGCCCAGGTGCGAGTGCGACCCAACAAAGCAGGAAGAGCGCCCACCTGCGCGGCAGCAAGATCAGAGTCCATGCGCTTCCACTCAGCAATATGTGGCCCTGGCCACCTTGCCAAAAGATTCTTCCTCGATGCCAGGCTCGAGCTTTTCGATCATGCAATGGGCTCTGGTAGCGCGCAAAGCCATCAGCCCGGGGTCGCTGTGGTTGGTCTGGAGAGACGCATGCCGGATGACCAAGGTATTGATGGCACCCCGCCTTTTAGCCTGCTCATTCCTCACATGGGCCCTGCCGGGCGCAGAGCGCAACTTCTTCCAACGCCGCCTGGTCCACGCGTTCTGCCCGAATGAGGCGGCCACTGATCAGGGGGAACTGACTCATGCAACAAGACCGTTCCCTCCAAGACGGAGACGCATCTGCCGTGAGACTGATAAATACAGCGGCGGGCCTCGGATTGCCAACTGGAGATAAA